AAGTCCCAAATGCCAAGGTCTATTTTCCCCAAACTCCACCAGTCTTCAGATTTGGGCATACTGAGTAGTTGTGCCAAGTTCTGTCCAAATCCATAGTAATTTGGGTTCACTGTGCTCTCTGGATGTAGGTGGACTATCTCTCCCATAATTCACTATCAATTCCCCCCAACCCCTCCAGTATTTTCTATTGGCCATTAGGGTTCTGTGTGCCAAGTTTGGTCCAGGTCTGTATTTCGGGTGGGGGGGGGGAGGGGTGTCTCTTTGGTCTCTGGAAGTCAGAGCTGCATCACTTGAAGGTACTTCACATCCCATCATCCGTTGCCCACACTCCCCCAAACATATTGTTTTTTTTATTAATCACTATGCTTTAATTATGTTCAATTTTTAACAATGGGAATACATCCTTCATATCAGACATTTACATTACATTTCATAACAGTAGCAAAATTACTGTTATGAAGTAGCAACGAAAATGTGGTTGGGGGTCACCACAACATGAGGAACTTTATTTAGGGGTCACGGCATTAGAAAGGTTGAGAACCACTGGTTTATAACAATGACTGCCCTAAGTTTTTACTCTTGATTTTGGCTGGAAAAGGTGATGAAGAATATAAATCTGTTACAAATTAGTACCATGAGAAAAACCAGATATGCAGCTGTCCTTTGTACTGGAACAGCCCACTATAAACTAAACAACTTTATCATATGGAACTATAATGTGAAAAATATTTTAAAGTGATGCCAATATGGGAAGGTATTTATTCTCTTGATCATTTTATTTTAGCATCATAGATGGAAAAACTGTGAAAACTGTTCAAATGTACATCTATATAAATAAAAATGTAATGTTCATTTGTGGGATTAACATAACTCAAAAACCACTGGACGAATTGCCGCCAAATTTGGCCACAAGACAGCTACTAACCCAAGGAGTGACCATCACTCAAAAAACCCGATTTTGTCATTTGGGAGTTGTAGTTGCTGGGATGTATAGTTAACCAACCATCAAAGAGCATTCTGAACTCCACCAATGATGGAATTGAACCAAACATGGCACACAGGACTCCCATGACCAACAGAAAACACTAGAAGGGTTTGGTGGGCATTGACCTCGAGTCTGGGAGTTGTAGCTCACCTACATCCAGAGAGTACTGTGGACTCAAACAATGATGGATCTTGATCAAACTTGGCACAAATACTCCAGATGCCCAAATATGAACACAGATGGAGTTAGGGGGACACAGGCCTTGACATTTGGGAGTTGTAGTTACTGGAATTTATAGTTCACCTACAACCAAAGAGTACCCTATTCCTTATAAACTGTTCAACTTCTCTTCTTTCAAGAAACAGATCTGTGATTGCTATTCACCCTTTCATGGGCTCCCTATACTGGTCTCTTTTATCAAGTGTGGAAGAGCATATTATCCCAAAGTCACTGCTGAAGTAAGAGTCAGTGTCTTCAATACCAAAATATATGGACCAGCTCTTGAATTACTGCAATCTATATGAAGAAGTCAGCATGGGAATTATCTCAGCTACCACAAAGGGTTTTAGAATATCAGAAACAGCATGTACAATTCTTAGTCCAACAGGAGATACATGCAAGTATCTGACTAAAACATATGTCTCCAGCTGGGCTGGGATAAAAAAAGGCTTTACCCATCCAGGATTTTACACTTTTAAGACTCTTCAAATAAAAATCATAGTTTCCGTATATTACATTATCTCTTCCTCAGGTAAATACTTTATCCCAATGTGTTTTGTGCAGCATTACTGAAGATGTAGTACAGCTTTGAGCCATACTGCTTCTTCAGCGTTGCCAATTGAGATACTTCCAGCTGCTTTCAGCTATGGAAAGATAGAATGCATTTGTCAACAGTGTGTCCAAAGTGCTAATTCCCTCATCCCATAAACAGATGTGAGGTCAGAGCTAAATATTCACTAAGAACACATTTGGTTCAACTTATCTATCGCTCAAGTTCATTATGGTACACGTAGTTCCAACTCATTTCTCATCACTGGCTGCTGCTCGCAGGGGTGGGGAAATGTATATAATAATAAGATCAGGTCAAGAGTAAGATGAACTAGTGGGATGTGGTGGAATAGGGAAAATCAATATCAGATTGCCTTTGTCTTTTGCCTTCACCCATATCATATGAGGGTTGCATGAAAAGTGTAAAGATGTACCATTAAATACTGATATTTCTAGTTTTTCGTATTTAGCTATGAAAGCTTGTATGAGGGTTGAATGAAAAGTAATGCCTCCACCTTCATTACTTGGGCTTAGATGCGAATATTTTAATAAATCAAACACAGAAATAATCCTTAGAATGAACTCTTTAACTACCACTATTAGCTTTTCCACACAATCACCAGGCAATTGGATACATTTCTGCCAACAATGAACAAGTTTTCTGAAGCCGTCAAGGAAGAAGTTGACACTCTGTTTCTGCAACCCATTGTGCACAGATCTTCCAATAGCCAATTAAAGCAATAATGTGACCCACACGTTCTTGTGAAATGCCGATTATGCTTGAAATTTCTCTCTGAGTGATACGACAATCGTTCTGAATCAATCTGTGAAACTCGGTGGTTGCTGTCACAAGACGTCCAACTCTTTGTTTGTCACGCAAGTCAGATGTTCCCACCTCAACATCTTTAAACTTACTCACCCAACAATGCCCAATGATACACATCATCACAATCACCATAAACAGCTTGCATTCTCTGATGAATCTCCTTTGGGGTGACACCTTCTGCTGTCAAGCATTCAATGACTGCACGCTGCTTAGGGTTCCATACTAAGTACTTTAACAACACAACCTTTCAATGCTAAGGCTTCCTGCCAAAATGGAACTGTAGAGGAGAGTCTACTGAACAAGCCAATACCTGCCACATACCAGTACTGTCATCTGTTGAGGAGTTACGAAGGTGGAGGCATTACTTTTTATTCAACCCTCGTACATATTCGTACTATCTGAAATAAGCATTGAAGCCCTATTTGTGGTGGATGTATACATCTTTTAAATAAAGAAAACCCTTTACATCCTAACTTGCAATTAGGATAGTCTTCATTTTAAAGGATTCCAAAGGAATCATGTTACTGGTGTGTATGTGGATGCCGAGATCATCCATTTTAATTGCTTCCATGGATGTTTGTAATTGATATAGATGTTTATGATTATTAACTAAACTAATTAGTATCCAAAGCATCTGACATATAGAAATGAATTACAAGAGGAAAGCAATTGTTCACATTTCTCTGAAGTTTCTGGTGCCGGCACAATAGAGGAAACAGAATTTTTATTAAATGTGCCAGAAATGTGATACAGGATGGCTTTGCTTTTGTTCTCATGTACACGAGACGTATTTCTGCCATGAGTTTATGCTATTAAGTAACATCTGTATTATGTTTTACAGCAGTTGTTTATTTTGTTTCTCTCACACAAGCAGCTATATTGGATACGGTACTATTCTCTGTTTGAGAGGATTTAAAAGTTTACAGTCAAGTTTTTATACTATGGAAAAAATGAATAGTGGCATATTTAAGTTATTTGTTATGTGCTCTCTAATCATCTAAATTTTGGTTGATTAGAACATGCAGCAAACACAGAATGTAGATTCTAAATTACAGTATCATAATGTAAAAGCTGCTTTTATACAAAATGTTAATTTTGGTCTTTCATGACTCTTGGGCAACAACTGGATCTTTCTTAATAACAACATTTAAAGGGACATTTTAAGAATTCAGTACATCAAGTACTCCAATGGATTCATTATTCATCATGCATCTTATAACTTAACAAATAATAAATAAATGCTTAATAAAAATGGAAACTACACATGAAAATTTGACTTGAAGTTACAATAGTAGCCTCCAGGTAAGACTACAGTGGCTTTTAAATGGACAAGTGTTCTTTCTCCCACCCTGAACATCCCACAGATATATAAACCCCATTGTCCTAGCTTCTAACAGACCTCACAACCTCTAAGGATGCCTGCCATAGATGCAGGCGAAACATCAGGAGAGAATGCTTCTGGAACAGAAGCATTAGGTCAGCTCCATCCCTCCTCTCCTTCAGGAAGAAGCTCAAAACATGATTTTGGAACCAGGCATTTGGACAGCAGGTTTGACAATAATTACAATGTTTTTAGATTAGACTATGGACAGGCTCTGGACTGGGTTGTTGTATCAAACTCGGATATGGCTATATGGTTAATAATAACGTTTTAAATGGTTTTTAACTTAATGTTTTTATTTATTGTTTAATGTTTTTATTGCAATGTTTTGTATGTTGTTGGCATCAAATTGCTGCCGTTGTAAGTCGTCCTGAGTCCTCGCTCAGGGGTAGAGAAGAATGGGGTATAAATGTTTGAAATAATAAGTAAACAAACAAACAAACAAATAAATAAACATGGTCATACAGCCCGGAAAACACACAACGATCCACGGATCCCAAGTTTGTTCAAATAATATCAAACTGAGTTTCTTCTGGTTTTTCCAGCTGTGCTGGGATGATAGGACTTGCTGTTTAACATATTCAAAGATATGACGAAGAGTGGTATAGTTTTACAACATGTATCTCTCATTATTCTGCTTCTGATATGATACTATATAGTACAGGTTTTTCAAGTGAAGCATGAGGTAAGGATATCTTTAGACTTTTACCACTTTGCTTCATTTGATTCATTTTAAAAACAACACACATTATTTTGTTATCATTCTCTATCTTCATTTTAGACATGGTTCTGTTTTGCTGTGCCAAAAAAGACAGATTATAAGTGCACAAGACAATTATTTACTAGCTATCCCTTTTAAATTTAGTTTTACCTTTCAAAGCCAACTATAGATTGATTAATTGAAAAAGGATGTTTTAGTAGATCAATATTTTAAGTATTTAAATCTGATGGAATTTTGCGATTTGAAAGATGTTAGAATAGGTCTCCTGATGAAAGACGGTGTATATTCGCTGCAAAGAATTTAGGAAATGTACACTTACCTGTCATTTTCTGCAGTAAGGTTGATAGTTCAGGCTCATCACAAAGAGATTGGACAAGGGCTTCCTTTACTCGTTCTTCGGCCTCATCTAATTCTTTTCCAGTTTTAATTTCTCCAACTATGGAGTAAATATAAACCAGCAACACAAGGAGATCTTCAGGAGTGTAATCATCATCTGTCCTGTTATCATGAGACTTGATGATAGGTAGCAATTGGTTCAGAACATTTGGTAATGGTGACTCTCCAATACTCTGAAAATAAAAAGTAGAGAAGAAACAGTGTGGGGAAAAATATTTTACCAAGAAAATTCGAGAATTTATTTTAAGGGATTGAGGATGCATATACTGAAATGCTTATACTGCTTCTGTTTCTTTATAACTGTCACTTCCCAATCCAGTTTGTAAACTACTTTCATTATAAGGCCACTTGTCTATCACAACCTCTACATTAATCACTAACTCCCAGTTTGGTAACCCTTCTCATGCTGTCAGCATTTCATAGTAGTTTGGGGGATAAAAGCTGCTGAAGTATTTTCAATCATTCTTTTATCACTTTTGGAAAAATTCAGACTTGCCAGGGAATATGGTTTTTTCCAAATGTGATAAAAGGAGTATTGAAATTGTTGCTATTTCAAAAATATCTGATCCTTGATCACTCTCCAGTTTAGCCGCACAAAATTAAATAATTAGATTTCACAATGTTATTTATTATTTATTTTTATTATTTACAGTATTTCTATCCCACCTTTCTCAGCCCAAAGGCGAATCATAGGACTGTTCCATCCTATGTGTTCTTCAACTGCAGTTCCTGAAACCAGTATGACAATCTCCCAGGAAATATAGCTTTACCTAAATACCGTAAAGCAATGGTTCCCAATCTTTTTTTGACCAGGGACCACTTGACCATGGACCACACTCCAACAGTAGTACCAAAAGGGTTACGAATCAGATTTTGGTCAACTTTAGATTCAGTTTGGTTATTTGGGGTGCTGATTCAGAATATTGCGTTGGATAGACCACATCAGCTCTAGTTTCCAATACAAAACATTTGCTATCCAGTAGTTGGCATCTACTCGCCCACAGAAAACCATATTTAATAATCTAGAGCTGATGTGGTAGTAGTGATGTTTTGTGGGTAGTCAGCATCTCCTCTCCTGACATCCCCATTGCCTCGGCACTATAAGACGGTTTCACAAGGCAAGTCACTCTCATTGCTACATGGTTTAAAGACATGAAGCTGTGGACCATATTTTCATTCTTGCAGACCACTGGTGGTTTACGGACTACAGGTTGGGAACCACTGCCCTAAAGGCACCAGATTGCTTCTAAACTTACAAAGTAAGCAGGTTCAGTCTTAATACATGGATGGAAGACTGTGTGGCAAAACAACTCCTGAGTAATCTTTGTTTAAGAAAACACTATGAAATGAATGGGTCTGCAATATTATTTATGTATTTATTTATTTCATTTACTTGTACCCATGCCCTTCTCACCCCCGAGGGGGGACTCGGGCAGCCTCACAGCAAACACCATTCGGTGCCATCATAATGATAAGAACAATCAAGAAATTCATTAAAACAAAACATTAAAAAACAGTTGTTAAAACACGCCAATTAAAATCCAGGTCTGGGATAATTCATTGTCACTTTGAAATTGCTTATGTCTTCTTCATAAAAACCGCTGTTCAATGGTCAAATGCAAGGTCCCACAGCCACATCTTGAATTTCCTTCTAAAGGACAGGAAGGAGGTGGTCAGTCTGATGTCTTTGGGGAGCCACTGTTGAGAAGACCCTGTCTCTCATCTCTACCAATCACGTTTGCAACAGCGGTGGGATCGAGAGCAGGGCCTCTCCAGATGATCTTAAACTTCGTGATGATTCATAGTAGGAGATACGTTCGGATAACTTGAAGGGACATACACAAAGAGAGAGGGCAAGGTAAAAAAATTGATTCCTTCATCATCTCTGCTGCTTCCATCCTCTGTTAAAGCAGCTTAGAGATGAGGGCAAGGGAATGTGATTCTCTGTCCTAAATTGTTTGGGTTGTTCCAACATTAATAACCTCCTCATTGGAAGTGTGTAGTAGGAAGTGACGGTTGTGACAAGTGTCAATAAACATAACAGTTGCTATAGGTAGGAGAGAATGTGATTTTTAGTATGGGGAGCTCCAGCTTCCAGTTTACTAGTTTGTTTTAAATAAGGATTTATATTTGCAATTATAGGAAGAGTGAAAATACTTTCTACTGGCCTACCAAAAATTCCATGGGGGAAAAGAGATTGTGTTACAACCACTGCCTTAGTACTTGCACCTGAATCTTCTTGGCTCCTGGTTAAAAAGAGAGAGGAAAGAACGCTAGTCACAGCTGTAGAACCTAGCCCAGGTTTGAACTCTAAATGCGTTCACTTTTAAGAGCAGCATCTATTTGTTGGCACTGAACAGAAATGAGGATTCATTGCGGCCTTGTAAACAAGTTCCCAATCCCGCGATTGAAGAAGCCTCTGCCTGAAACGGTTTTAAAGGCATTTAGACCCTAATGTTTAATATGATTTTCAAGGAGATTATAAAATGTTATTAATTGAAGAAACCCAAACAGTTCTTTCAGTTCAAAAGTAAATTCAAACTGATATAAAAGGGCTATATAATTGTTAAGGCAGTGTGTATTTTGCACATAGGCAAAATACTTCAATAGAATACCAGGTATTTAATGGTTTTATTAATAAACGTCACCCTTCGTTAGTTATTCCAAATATGTCTAAAGACAAACTGTAATGTACTCATTGTAAAAAAAATCTAAACAATAATACATGCAATAGAGCCAGCCTAATTTGGTATTTTGAGAATAAGACTATGGTTCTGGAGACCAGGGTTCAATTGCCCATGGAAAACTACTGGATGACTTACTTTCAGTCCAAGAAAAGTTGGAAATGACTTGAAACCACACAACAAAAACGCATGTAATCGAGCAGACAAGAAACATGAAGCAGATAAAAAAATGAAAACACAAGAGTGCTAAAAATAATTAGGTATAGCTACTTAAATAATTTCCCAAAAAAATCGATAAGTGTTTGGTCATGATATGGAATAACATTAAAGTGATGGGAAGGGAAAGGAACTCACTTGGGAAAGGATTTCAGAGCCTAGGTGCATCTGTGAAGTTGTGTTCTCCTTTTCACGGCAAGGCATGTTTCTAGGGTATTTGGAAGATACAGGAGATGCTTTGGCTGGTGATGGTGTTATCAAAAAGCAAGAAGATTCATTTAGTTGAATGTTTTTTTTCCCGTGTCAGGAGCGACCTGCAAAACTGCAAGTTGCTTCTGGTGTGAGAGAATTGGCCGTCTGCAAGGACATTGTCCAGGGGACGCCGGTTGTTTTTTGATGTTTCGCCATCCTTTTGAAGGAGATCCTTCCAATATTCTCACCCCAAACTATAAAACACTCCAAGGTCTAGCAGCAGCAACATGTTGAATTGTGCTCAGAAACAAACTGGAAGCTACTGTATGTTTAGGCAATCCCACAACTCTGTGAACAACCTGAAGAAAGCATTCTATGCTAGTTTTTCATTTCTGAATACTCTTCAAAGGCAGGTTTGTCAGGAGCACCTTATTTATTTATCTGTTTATTTCGTGTACTGCCCTTCTCAGCCCCCGAGGGGGGACTCAGGGCGGCTTACAAAAGGCACAATTCGATGCCTACACAATAATACAGATAAACGTATAAAACAGCAATTAAAACAGTTATAGCAGTTAAAAACAGTTACAGCAGTTAAAACAATCAGTATATAACACAGTCAATAAACGTCATGCTCAGCGTTCGCCACTCAGAGTCCATAACTTCATTCCACTTTGTCCATTCTTATCAGTCGTCATAGTCCTTTATTTATCTGCCAGATTGTCCAAACACCTGGTCCCAAATTCATGTTTTTAATTTCCTCCTAAAGGAAAGGAAGGATGTCGCTGATCTAATTTCCCCGGGAGTGAATTCCATAGGTGAGGGGCCACCACCGAGAAGGCCCTGCTCCTCGTCCCCACCAATCTCACTTGTGATAGAGGTGGGGCTGAGAGCAGGGCCTCCCCAGAAGATCTTAGACTCCGAGGCAGGACGTAGAGGGAGATCTGTTCGGACAGATACGCTGGGCCGGAACCGTATAGGTTTTTGTAGGTCAAAACCAGCACTTTGAATTGTGCTCGGAATTGGATCAGCAGCCAGTGGAGCTAACATAACAGAGGGGTGGTATGCTTCCTGTATGACGATCCTGTGAATACTCTGGCTGCCTCCCGCTGGACTAGTTGGAGTTTCCGAACAGTCTTCAAAGGCAACCCCACATAGAGTGCATTGCAGTAATCTAATCGGGATGTAACAAGAGCGTGGACCACTGTGGCCAGATCCGACTTCCCAAGGTACGGGCGCAGCTGGCGCACAAGTTTTAATTGTGCAAAGCTCTCCCGGCCACCGCCGAGACCTGGGGTTCCAGGCTCAGTGATGAGTTCAGGATCACTCCCAAAGCTGCAAACCTGCGTCTTCAGGGGGAGTCTTGCATGTGTCATCCTGGAACAGGCTTTCATGTGGCTGCCATTACCTTCCCGCCAGAGCGGTACCTATTGATCTACTCACATTTGCATGTTTTCAAACGGCTAGGTTGACAGAAGCTGAGGCTGACAGTGGAAGCTCATGTCGCTCCCTGGATTAGAACCTACAACCTTTTGGTCAACAAGTCTAGCAGCTCAGTGGATTAACCCACTGCACCACCAACTCTATGATTCTATTATTCTAAATATGAAAATAAATACTAATTTAGTATGAGGGCACAAAGATTGATGTTCTTTCCCAGCCACACCTTTTGGGTAAAAAGACCATGTTATAATTGCACATAAAATGTAAACTACTTGTGACATATTCCTTACAGAGGGAGGTGTTGTTGTTCATTCATTCAGTCACTTCCGACTCTTCGTGACCTCATGGACCAGTCCACGCCAGAGCATTCTGTCGACCATCACCACTCCCAGCTCCTTCAGAGTCAACCCAGTCACTTCAAGGATACCATCCATCCATCTTGCCCTTGGTCGGCCCCTCTTCCTTTTTCCTTCCATTTTCCCCAGCATCATTGTCTTCTCTAAGCTTTCCTGTCTTCTCATTACGTGGCCAAAGTACTTCTTCTTTTGCCTCTACTATCTTTCCTTCCAATGAGCAGTTGGGCTTTATTTCCTGACGTATGGACTGGTTGGATCTTCTTGCGGTCCAAGGCACTCTCAGAA